ACATAGATGGAATGAGTGAACAAAATATATTAGATTTTATTTGCCAAATGTCTATGGCAGCTAGTGTATATAAGAGACGTGGAAATTCTGATAAAGCCACAGCTATGACTTTAATACAAGGTTTCACTGGTCAGCTCAAAGGATGGTGGGATAATTTCTGGAGTCCCGCTGACAGAGAAGCCATATTAAATGCAGTTAAACAAGAAACTAGAGAAGAGGATGCAGTTGCAACTCTTATCTATACAATAATTCAACATTTTGTAGGAGACCCCAATACCTTTAAAGATAGGGCAGCTAGTCAGCTAGCTAATCTCTACTGTCCAACAATGTCTGATTATAGATGGTATAAGGATGTTTTTATGTCAAAAATTACTTTAAGAGGAGATGGATTTCAGGGATTCTGGAAGGAAAGATTCCTTGCAAGGTTACCTAAATTATTCTCTGAAAAAGTAAAAATGAAACTTGAAAATCATTTTGGAAATCCCATATCATATCATAGTCTTACATACGGACAAATTCATAGCATTATTATTGAAACCGGAATACAAGTTTGTAATGATTTTAAACTCCAAAATAAGCTTAGAAAAGAAGTGGCTACCAATAAAAAAGAAATAGGAAATTTCTATGAACAATATGGAGTAGAACCTATTAGAGCACCTAGTGCAGTCCGTAGAAAAACTCAAAAAGGACAAACCCATAACCAAAACTCCTATAAAAAACAAACTTATAAAAAGCATAAAAAGATCTATAAAAACCTTATAGAACAAATAAAACTTATTCAGAAAAGCCCAATACTATTTCAAAACCCAATAGAAAACCCTCTCAAAAGAAAAATATTACTTGTTGGAAATATGGACGTACTGGTCATTTTGCCAACAAGTGTAAAATACAAAATAAAATTAATGAACTAGAAATAGATGAATCATTAAAGAAAACCCTTATAACTATAATGATTAACTTTGAATCAGAAGAAAGTGATTCTACTTCTGATGAAGAAAGCAATACTGAAATCATTTATCAACTAGAAGAAGAAGACTCTAATTCTAGTCAAGAAGATGAATGTTGTTTAGGTCCAGGACTTTGTACCTGTACAGATTACAAAACTATTAATATGTTAACCTCTGAACAAACCCATACTCTTATTGATCTTATATCACAATTAGAAAATGGTCCTATAAGAACTGAATTTATAGAAAAATTAGAAGAATTATTAAAAAAAGGACGAAAAAGAGCAAGAAGAAAATAAAGAAATAAATTTAAAGGAAATATATGCTAGATTTAGGCAGCCTTCACCCATAACCGTTAAAGATCTACAAGAAGAAGTAAAAGCCTTAAAGAATGAAATTACAAATTTAAGACAAAATAATATTTCAATAGAATATAGATTATTAGAATTAGAAGGAATTGAAAAACTTAGAATCCAAATTAGTAATAATCAAACTTCTACATCTAATACTCCACCAATAGATAATAATTACTTAAATCTCATTACTACTCATAAATGGCATTGCACTATCAAATTACTGATTAAAAATGATGAATTTAATCTTATTGCTTTAATTGACTCTGGAGCTGATATTAACTGTTTACAAGAAGGAATTATTCCATCAAAATATTATGAAAAAACCTCAGAAAAGGTATTAAGTGCTAACAACTCTCATATGAAAATTAATTACAAACTTTCATTAGCAAAAATTTGTAAAAATAAAATATGTTATGAAACTTCATTTGTTCTAGTAAAAAATGTGAATATTCCTTGCATACTAGGAACACCCTTTTTATCATTATTATATCCTTTTACAGTAACAGAAAAAGGATTAGAAACACAAATCGATACAGCGTTGATATGTGGAATTAAGTTGAAATGATGTTAAGATGTATATATATATGTGTTGTTTATCTTTTGTGTCAGATTTGAAGATGATTATAGTTGTTATGTTTCAGATTAAATTATTATGAGTTGTTTGAAGAACTCCGAGGTGGAAGGAGATAAGGAGAAAGAAATGGGTTTCGAGCTCCAACAACCCAAACTCCACAACTACACCATGAGATTCTCAGCTCTAAGTCTCGGAGAAGAAGAAAACAGAGTCTTCGGGCATGAATCGTCCCCTAAGAATCTGAAAAGAAGAAAGAAAAGTATTTAGGTTCTCAAAGTTAATCTTTCCACTAAGTCATATCTTACATACTTAATATTATATCATAACTAACATTACATATATATATATATATATAACTAATTTTAACGGTCAATGATTAATATTCAACAAAGAAAAAAAATTACAAATTCTATAAACTTAAGAGACTTAAATTACAAAATTAAAAATAAAATGATCAAAATTTTAAATATAATATTATAAGATGACAAGAAGTACAATTTAATTAATAATCTATAATCTTGTAATAAAATTATTCAGATATATATATTAGTTAACTTGACTATATATATAAATTTAAATATAATGATTATATATTAATTATTAATTTGATGGAAAGAGAAGAATGAAGTTATACTTTAAAGAAGCATTTAGTACGAGCGTTATATTTGTTCTTACAATCAACAATGTTGGTACTCGGTAGGACGTCTTTTGAGTGTACAAGATTTGAGTATATGAATCCATCATCTGCTTTAAGCTTCTTTAAAGGTCTTGTATTCCCTAGCGGGTGAGCACGTAATTAATTGGATCTTAATGCCATTTAAACACTTACGTCTGTTTGCTGGTAACAACCCATGTGTTAATTTATGTTAATACTTACTCATTCAATCATTAACTAGTCTTAATACTAGTATATAAGAAATAATTTTTTCTATCTAATATTTTCTTTTAATCTTTTGTTTTTATGTAATATAAATGTGATGATTTCACACATAAAAAGGTTTAAGTAGCACACCATTTTTTTTTTGCCTATCCATTTTGCTATTCTGATCATTCTCCCTCTATTTCGCGGATAGTTTGTCCATATCAGACATCGGATAAAGTCAACATGACACGACATTTCTTGTAACAAAATGACTCTTTTTTTGTTCTAAGAAAAAATATTCTTCGATGTAATGTGTTGTAGTTTCCGAAATAAATACAAGTTTAAATATTTTTGGTATCCCTGAACCTTGTATAGGTCAATAAATAATGCAGGGATTGATATGAGGTAGGTATGAAATACTTCACAGAATTGATACAAGGTAGTAGTAAGAATTAGCGTAAAAACAGGTTGCAACAGTGAATGATAGTATCGTATGTAAGAGATTACAAATCTGGGACTCACTTCACAGTTAATAATAATGAGTGTCATGCATGATTGGGTGCCATTATTTTTTATTTTCCTTTCAACGAGTCCACAGCTCCTACCTTTTGCTTCATCCAGATCCCGTGCAAGTGTGCAACAAACAAACCTCACTCAACCACTCCAACACCCATAATTTTAAAAATCGGACCGGTCATCGAATCGGTTAAGGTACTGAGTCAGTGGGTCAGAGGTTGAACCGGTGGGTCACTAGTTGAACCGCATGACTCAGTTTTTATTTATTTTTATTAAAAAAATATTCATATTAAATATATTTTATACTTATAAATTTTAATAAATTTATATCTTATTTTAAATTTCAATTTTTCTATCTTATTTAAAATTATTTTTATTTTTATTTTGTAAAAAAATACATAAAAAATTACATGTTAAACAGTATATTAATACAAATTAAAAATATAAATAATATGTACATATATAATATGCTTGCAATTAATATCACAAGATAATATATGTAATATTTACATAGATATTGCATTATACTATAAAAGTTATTTAAGTTGTATATTATATAAACAAATACATTAGAACAAGTAGTCATTGTTATATTTAATAAGAATCTTTGTTCTTCCATTAAGAAATTCAATTTTCATTATTATTTTTGTGGTTTATGGTCCCTTAAAAAAATTATAAAAAAAAAAAAAGTGATTGAACCGGTTTGACCCACCGGTTCACCGGTTGAACCGGAAAATTGACCGGTTCAATCCGGTTTGAAACGGGTCGACTGCATAACCGATCCAACTTAAGGTTCGGACCGGCTGGACCACCGGTTCCCGGTCCAACCGGTCCGACCGGCCGGTTCGGTCCGGTTTTTTAAACACTGCCAACACCAATACTAAGAAAAATTATTAGGAGACACGTAATAATGACTAAATTAATTGTTGGGATACAAACAAAATTTTATATCATTTAGATGAACATAAATTTATATATAAAATTATTTTTATTAATTAAAAAATTATTTAGGTAATGTCCAAAAAATAAAATCGTGAGATATGAACCGTCCCAGTAAAAAAAAAAAAAAAGACAAAAGTGAAAAAGTAACCCTAAACATGATAATTAACATTCCACGTGCATTTTCCTTTAATTTACGTGGCTCTCGTCATAACCGTTACCACGAGCGAAAGAGAGAGAGAGGGTAATGAAGAGGCAAAGCAGCGCGGTGTCGCCGTCGTCGTCGCGGCGAGAAACGGCGCCGGAGAAGATCCAGGCGAAGACAATCGGGTGCATGTCCGGCATTCTCCACTTCATCTCCAGCTCCAATACGCGTCGCTCTCGCCGCTTCCTCACGTTCGGTGCGTTTCGCGTTTCGCGTTTCCCAGGGCCCACACCATATCTCTTTCGTTTCTTTCTCGACAGATTTTAGTCACACAATATTCTTTTCCTTTGTCCTTATTCTCAGGAAGGAGCCAGACTAAGAATTCCGATTCCGCCGCCGCCGCCGCAAATTCGCGCTCCGAGAATGCGAAGGCCGCCGCGTGCGACCGCCGGCTGGCGCGCG